TTCTCCCGAGCAGCAGACAGCAGCCAGGCCTGTTTACATGCAACGAGCACGGGGGGAGGAGAGGAGAGAGGGAGGAGGGAGGGAGAGAGGGAAAGAAGGAGGGAGGGAGGAGGGGATGAGGTGGAAGGAGGAGGGAGGGAGGGAAGGAGGCGGAAGGAGGGAGTAAGGGATGTGGGAAGGAAGGAGGGAAGGGAAAAGGAAGGAGGAGGAAGTAGAGAGAGAGGGAGGAGGGAGGGAAGGAAGGAGTGAGGAGGGAGGAAGGGAGTGAGGGGGGATGATGATGATGAGGAGGGAGCAGAGGAGCGAAGGAAGGAGAGAGGAGGAGGGAGGGAGTGAGTGAGGAGGGAGGGAGGAGGGGAGAAAAGAGGGAGGGAGGAGGAGGAGGGAGGGAGGGAAGGAGGGAAGGAGTGAGGAGTGAGGAGGGGGAAGGAGGGAAGGAGTGAGGAGACGGAGGGAGGGAGGAAGGAGAGAGGAGAGAGGAGGAGGAGGGAGGAAAGGAATGGGGGGAAGGAGTGAGGAGGGAGGGAGAAGGGGGGAGAGAAGGAAGGAAGGAGGGTGCAGGGCAGGAGGGAAAGGACAGACGGGAGGAAGGGAGGAGGAAAGGAAGGAGGGAGTAAGGAAAAGGAGGGAGGGAGTAAGAGAGGAGGGAAGAAAGGAGGGAGGGAGGGAAAGAATGAGGTGAGGAGAGAGGAAGGGAGAAGGGAGGAGAGGAGGAGGAAGAGAGGAGGGAAGGAGGGAGGGAGGTGGAACGGGGACTGTTGTGGAACACTACCATAAATATCCATCTTCAAATGGTAATAGTCGCATTTTAAACTCTTTTATAAGCGCTTTTCCACCTTTAAGACACTCAAAGCACATCAAGAAACCATCACACACAGACACTGGGGGCGAGGAGGGTCTTGCCCAAGGACACAACAACAGAGTTGTGGGAGCTGGAATTGCTCCGCCAACCTGTGGGTCAGCGGCTCTGACGGCTCAACCCAAGATGTTTATGTCGAGAGCGAGATTTGAAACGCCAACATTCAGATCACAAACACTCCACTACTGTTTATCTCAGGGAAAAACTGAGGTCTGGGCCAAAATGTAGCTCAGTTCTGCATAATATTAATTGTATTTCTTTATAAAAAGCAGTAAATATCATTGTTCTGACGAGCTGGTTAGACTGGTGAGGGTTTATGTTAAGTCCTGGTTTAGTCTCGATTCAGTTCTATACCAGTCCTGGTCTAGTCCTGGTCCAGTCGCCTTTATAATAACTGCCCTCCTATTTTTATAGCTGCCGTATGGTGCCCTGGAAGAACACTGCGGGAGTCTTAATATCAGTAAAATAGAGTAATTTAGGGACTTTGTTTATCCCGTGCGAACGCGCTGCAAGTAACACAGACGTAGGGCAGTAATTTACAAATTACCACACGTCCCCAGGTTGTACTTACCCCGTGCGAACAGGACTTAAGCAATGAAAAAGTGAGTTTGCCTTAAAAAAAAAAAAAAAAAAAACACCTCTAAAATAAAAGCAATGCAGCTTTAGTTCATGCACAGCGTTGGGGAGTAACAGATTACATGTACCAGAGTTATGTAATCAGAGTACAAATTATGAGTAACTGTATTCAGTTACAGTTACTGTTTCAGTGAGTGGTAATTAGATTACAGTTACTTTGTTGAAATAAATGGATTACACTGAGGTATTTTCCTGTTTTCACATTTTGGGCTTTTTTTTTTTTTTTTTTGGTAATTCCACTCACTAAAACCTAAACCAGGTCTAAAAAAACAGGTCCAAACCAGGTATAAACCAAGTCTAAACCCAGGTCCAAACCAGGTCTAAAACCAGGTCTAAACTAGGACTAAACCAGGACTAAACCAGGTCTAAACCAGGTCAAAACCAGGTCTAAAACCAAATCTAAACCAAGACTAAACCAGGACTAAACCAGGTCTAAAACCAGGACTAAACCAGGACTAAACCAGGTCAAAACCAGGTCTAAAACCAAATCTAAACCAAGACTAAACCAGGACTAAACCAGGTCTAAAACCAGGACTAAACCAGGACTAAACCAGGACTAAACCAGGTCTAAACCAGGTCAAAACCAGGTCTAAAACCAAATCTAAACCAGGACTAAACCAGGACTAAACCAGGTCTAAACCCAGGTCCAAACCCAGGTCCAAACCAGGTCTAAAACCAGGTCTAAACTAGGTCTAAACTAGAACTAAACCAGGACTAAACCAGGTCTAAAACCAGGTCTAAACTAGGTCTAAACTAGGACTAAACCAGGACTAAACCAGGTCTAAACCAGGTCAAAACCAGGTCTAAAACCAAATCTAAACCAGGACTAAACCAGGTCTAAAACCAGGTCTAAACTAGGTCTAAACCAGGACTAAACCAGGACTAAACCAGGTCTAAAACCAGGACTAAACCAGGACTAAACCAGGTCTAAAACCAGGTATAAACTAGGTCTAAACCAGGACTAAACTATGTCTCAAACAGGATTTAACAGATCTAAATCCTGCTGCGTGGACCGTGTCTCCTCCTCTTCTATCAATAATATTTTTAATTTGATTCAGTAAAGTCTGGGCTTTTTATTTTCTTTTATCAGACAAAACTTCTTATGTTACGATTTCCTCGTCTTTGCTTCTCTACAGCAAATCAAGAAATCCAAAGTATTCAGATTACATTACTCACTTTAAGTAATTTAATGGATTACGTTACAAACTAATTTTGGAGAATGTATGGAGAATGGAGCTGGACTTCGTCTCCCTGCTGCTGCCCCCAACATATGAACAGTCACATGTCTCTTCACTCATGTTTCCTTTTTATTTCCAGGATCATTACACACTGCAGATTCTCAGTGAAGGCATCAACGTTATGAAGGACACATGTGGGATGTAGTAAAAAAAAAAAATAAAAAAAAACTCCATATAACTCAAAACTTGTTTCAGATTTTGAAGAAGAGCCTTTACACTTTTATCACTGCTTTTCACAATTGATATTTCTGAGGCCCAGCTGTGAAGTGAAAACCATTTCAGGAGACGTCAGCTGCAGGACAAGGTTTTGCAGCTCGGTGGACAAAGCAAATGGTGAATGCGCTAAATCCGTGTGTCATTCGTTCATTCGTTTTTCAATATAAAACCAAAAAAAAGAAACCGAAATAACAACAGTTTTCTTCATTATTTGTCTCCAAAACCAAAATGAAAAAACAGATAACGATGAGTTTTTTCAGTTTTCGATTTTGTGTTTAAATAAAAAAAGCTAAACTGGATAACGGCCGTTTCCCGTTTACGTGACTCCCGTGACTGCGATGTCGGACTTTTGCGCTGCATACGGACTGAACCAGGACTGAACCAGGACTGATCCAGGTCCGGGACCAGACCGGGGCCAGACAGAGACCAGAGCGGACTCCGAGCTTTGACTCCGAGCCTCAGCCTTGGTCCCAGTCTGGTCCCGGTCTGGTCTCGCTCTGGTCTCGCTCTGGTCCCGCTCTCAGTCCCGGTCTCAGTCCCGCTCTCAGTCCCGCTCTCAGTCCTGCTCTGGTCCCGGTCTCAGTCCCAGTCTCAGTCCCGGTCTCAGTCCCGGTCTGGTCTCTGTCTGGTCCCGGTCCGGTCTCAGTCCCGCTCTCAGTCCCGCTCTGGTTCCGCTCTCAGTCCCGCTCTCAGTCCCACTCTGGTCCCGGTCTCAGTCCCGGTCTCAGTCCCGGTCTGGTCTCTGTCTGGTCTCTGTCTGGTCCCGGTCCGGTCTCAGTCCCGGTCTCAGTCCCGGTCTGGTCTCTGTCTGGTCCCGGTCCGGTCTCAGTCTCACTCTGGTCCCGGTCTCAGTCCCGCTCTCAGTTCTGCTCTCAGTCCCGCTCTCAGTTCTGCTCTCAGTTCTGCTCTGGTCCCGGTCTCAGTCCCGGTCTCAGTCCCGGTCTCAGTCCCGGTCTCAGTCCCGGTCTCAGTCCCGGTCTCAGTCCCGGTCTCAGTTCTGCTCTGGTCCCGGTCTCAGTCCCGGTCTCAATCCCGCTCTCAGTTCTGCTCTGGTTCCGCTCTCAGTCCCGCTCTCAGTCCCGGTCTGGTCTCTGTCTGGTCTCTGTCTGGTCCCGGTCCGGTCTCAGTCTCACTCTGGTCCCGGTCTCAGTCCCGCTCTCAGTTCTGCTCTCAGTTCTGCTCTCAGTTCTGCTCTGGTCCCGGTCTCAGTCCCGGTCTCAGTCCCGGTCTCAGTCCCGGTCTCAGTCCCACTCTCAGTTCTGCTCTGGTCCCGGTCTCAGTCCCGGTCTCAATCCCGCTCTCAGTTCTGCTCTGTCCGGTCTCAGTCCCGGTCTCAGTCCCGGTCTCAGTCCCGGTCTCAGTCCCGGTCTCAGTCCCGGTCTGGTCTCTGTCTGGTCCCGGTCAGGTCTCAGTCTCACTCTGGTCCCGGTCTCAGTCCCGGTCTCAGTCCCGCTCTCAGTCCCGCTCTCAGTCCCGCTCTCAGTCCCGGTCTCAGTCCCGGTCTCAGTCCCGCTCTGGTCTCTGTCTGGTCCCGGACCTGGATCAGTCCTGGTTCAGTCCGTATGCAGCGCAAAAGTCCGACATCGCAGTCACGGGAGTCACGTAAACGGGAACCGCTCGTTATCTGGTTTTCCATTTCTCATTTAAACACAAAATCAAAAACTGAAAAAACGAATTATCATCAGTTTTTTCATTTTGGTTTTGGAGACAAATAATGAAGAAAACTGTTGTTATTTCGTTTTCTTATTTTTGGTTTTATATTGAAAAATGAATGAACGAATGATACATGGATTACACTACATGATTCCATATTTTTTACTTCATTTATTTGATGTCTTCTGTATGTACATAAATAAGCAGTAAACACTGAATGAGCGGGTGTGTTTTGATTGGTGGACGTGACCAAAACGTGGCACCGACGGCCCTTTTGACCCACAGCCAAAACTCACAATCTCCTTTCACACAGACAAGAGGATCCGTCTTTCCCACACGAAATCACAACAGGATTTTACAGGAGAATAAAACGGAGTAGGAGAGCGAGAGGACGGTACCTTCTATGAGCAGCTCCTGTCCGTGGCTCCCCAGAAGAGTCCGCGACAGGAACGGAGCGAAGTCCACCAAGATCTCCCTGAGCAGAGGAGCCCCCTTCTGCAGCGCCCGCTCCAGCTGAGAGCTCAGACTGTACACACACAAAAAATACAGTATATAGGTTCATTTGTTCTTCCGATAATTTATGTTATTAGGTTCTTTTTTTCAGACCAAGAGTTTGATTTCATACCTGACAGTTTCGACTGATCCCTGCGGTCTCCCTCAGAGTCACGTGATGTTGCTGTGACGTGTCCGATCAGCTGATTTAAACAGATTTTGGTGCCGTCTTCCTACCGGTGGAGCCAGGACGACAGCGCCATCATTGGGACAGAGGACAACAATTTCCTCTTTTATCGTCGGCAATCGAAATACGTAAACGTGCCCAAGGGACTACCGTATTTTCCGGGCTATAGGGCGCGCTCTTAAGCCTCTAACCCCATCAAAAAACGACAACAATCCAGAGCGTCCTATAGGCGAGTTTCAGCTGACGTCATTGTTATTAAAAGCCCGCGTTGCTGCTGGGAAATATTTTGGTCAGAGGCACGAAACACAGTGTGTAACCTCGCGTATTTATCCCCGATGATGGTAAATTCCTGCTGCATTATCGGATGCACAAATAGAAGCATGGTAGAAGGAAAATGTCTTTTTCGTATTCTGAGTGAAAAGAACCTCCAACGGTGAATTAAATGACGATTCGCAGAGCAAACGTAGAAGATCCTAACAAACCGTGGACTCCAACAAGTTCAACGACGCATCCAGACTCTTGGAGGTTTTCATCTTTTCTGCTGTGAGTGGCCCAGGAGTTTCCACCAAGTCATTGTGGATATCGCCCAAGTGAATATTTGTCCAGGTAGTTGGCGATTCTGACCAGAAATTTGGTTTGGTCCACCTTTTGTAGAGGTTGAAAAGGGTGATTTGGCTCCATCGATGCTTATGACCAACTTCTGGTCAAATGGTCTTTGGTCCTCTGCCGTTAGAGTGGATAAATAACCGGGATCAATACCCTTTACGTGCTTTCTCGCTCCGTCCGTCATGTTGAATTAGTGTTTCTTACCGCCGACCAAAATAATTCCCAGCATGCAACGCGCGCTTTTGTCAACAATGAAACTCGCCTATACACGAATTCACTCGGGTGTCCCAGCACGACTTCAGTAAACTACAAAGCCACAACACCCACAGCGCACGCAAACACACACGGAGCAGATAGCGACCGCACGGCCACACTCATCACTCCACGCCGACGAGGAACGCAACGGAGGAACGAACCGAAAAAGCGAGTGCAATGTACCGCTTCTAGACACGACTGAACAACTGAGTCACTGCGAACACGCCGACAATCCGTTGGTCCCAGACAGCACCCTCCCTACACGCCACAACTGAACAAAGCCCAGAGTCACCGTGAACGAACAAACAAACAAAACCACTCACCCATCACACTGTTGTGTTTCGTTTAAAGTCCAGTGCGGTTTATTTGTGAAAAAAGTTCAAAAATAAACCATTTAATGACAGTGCGCCTTATAATCCAGAGCAACTAATAGCCCATAAAATAAACCAGGACAAGTTTTTTTTTTACTCTCACACACCTGGGATACTGTCCTGAGGAAGTCGGACTGCAGATGGCGCTGTCGTCCTGCCTCCAACCGTAGGAAGACAACGACAAAACCTGTTTAAATCAGCTGAGCGGAAACGTCACAGCAACATCACGTGACTCTGAGGGAGACCGCAGGGAGCAGTCGAATACTGTCAGGTATGAAAACAAACTCTTGGTCTGAAAAAAAGAACCAAATCTCAGACTACATACACACACACAAATGAACAGAATATCTTAAGCAGCGTTCACATTTGTCTTAATTTGGTCCTGGTTTGGGACTAGTTTGAGTTCTAATGTACTTCTGGTTTGCTACAGTTCTAGTCCTTGTTTATTCCTGGTATAGTTTCGTGTTTTGCATTTATTTATTTGTAAAGAGGCAGCATATATTAATGAACGTTTAAAATGTAAATATGTAAAGATTATAACCAGCGCGGCTAATTTCCATCTTCAGTCCCTCGGCAGGTTGATATAAATAATTTACAGAACAGGGAAAAGTACAGCAACAATCACACAAAAGTACCAACACACTTACTATAGATACAATATACACACAATTAATTTCAGACGGTTCATTTGAAGTTTGAAGTCAAGAGTTAAAGATGAAAATCAATAACCCCCAAATAGAGAGAGTTCAGATTTAGTTCAGAGTTTAGTTCCAATTTTGATGTAGTGCTTTTGTAAACATACACGTCAAGTTTTTTTTAAGACTTGACACCTCAGCATCTAAGTATTTTATAGGGTTCCCACTAGGCATGGGCATGATTATTTGATTAATCGATAATTGATCATTAAGAATTTCATCGATTACGTTCATTTTAATCGACAAAACTGAATGTAGGTTGCTGTGCGTAGAGAAGGGTGACCAAACGGGTCCGTACATGTAGAAGGAGAGAGACACAAACATTCGGTCAGTCTGCAACGTGCCCAAGCGCAAATGTGTATTTAACGATGATTTGTACAAGAAATTCCACACTTTCCGTTGCGTTCGAGACAAGTGTGAGTCCATGTGCACAGTGTATAAAGCAGCACATATGTTTCTGTGTCCAGTGGGAAAAAGGTTTTTACCAGGTGAGAGTCGCGCAATGTCGATGACGAGTCCCCACCTCCCTCCCCCCGTACGGTGTCCTGGTTTTGACAAACGCAAATATGGTCACACTAACCTGTATTCCACTGAGTCGTGTCGCATCGGCGCACAAGAGCTGTTTTTTTCTTCGCTTAATTTATGCAAATTAGCCATGCAGTTTTAAGTTTCGTTTCTGTGAGAGTTGCACAAAACTGAATTAAACACATTATAATGTCAAACGGGCTGATGTGGCTCTAGAGTCGTTACAGTTTATATGTCGTAAAGTTGAATTTATTTATGCAGATTAGTAGTGCAGATAGTAATAATAATGAAGATAAATTTTAATATTCATTAATTCTCCCGACGATCGATTAAGAAAATTTAATCGAATGCCCATCCCTAGTTCCCGCTCTTTTTTTACTGACAAATTTTCAAAACTTTTCCAAAAAAAGTCAATTTTCCATGACTTTACGGCACCAACATGTGTAGAATTGATCACACTTTTAGGTCTAAATATGAAATGTTAACTCTTTCCACTCACCTTATGGTTTAGGATTATAACTTTTTAAACTTTCGAAATAGTATTATGTGTCAGTGCATTTATTGTCGTCTCTTTAAAAAAAAAAAAAAAAAAAAGCATACATTCAGAAATAATCATGTGAATGAATAAATATTTGTGAATGAATATTTATTCGGACAGTAATACATAGAACATAAATAAAAATAAATAAATAAATAAAAAAACAAAATGTAAATACATAGATATAACACAAAAAGGAACTATTTCTATTCTATAATAACAGGCAAAATAAATGTTACGCAGAATTTTCCTTGTGTCCGAAAAAGGAGTGGGGGGGAAGTAAATACTTATTTAACCCCACCCCTTTTTTCTACCGTCCCAATTTAACAAAGAACACATACAGACTTCTCATTTCCTGTACATTATAAGCAATAATTGCATCATAATAGTCTAATGATAACAAAACGCTGTAGTTGCATGAAAGAGACTTTTCCAGGATTTCCATGACCGTGGGAACCCTGATTTTATGTTTTATAATAAAATACACATACAACAAAATTGGGTGTGTCTGTAGAAACCCAAAACAGAAAACATGGACAGATAAAAATGTGTGCAGTAGTTTAAATAAGGCTAAAGACAATATCTGCAAAAACAGCCTGTGACAAGAAGCAGCTCTACGGACGTGTTTGTGAAATAACGAAGTTTTGTTCACGTCGTTTTTTTGTGTGATTTGACTAAACATCATGCGACACCACGAGGCCGAAACCAAAACCAAACCGAAAATATTTTAAAGTAGAATTTGTCCAAAAGAGGAGCCGCACACACACACACACACACACACACACACACACACACACACACACACACACAGACATCAGCGCGTCCCCCGGGCTCCACACTGTCCTCGCTTTGACTCGTCCGCAGCGCCGGTATAATCCTGTTCACGTCTGCGGAGATCTGACCCTCCGGAGACGTCGTGTCAGACTAACCGCGGTTGCCATGGGAGCAGAAGGTTCCGCAGTGTGGCTGGAGTGTTAAGGGGGGGGGACACGGCTCTGTTCTGACGGTAAAAGGACGAACGTGATCACGGAGCGGAGAGCGACAAACTAGTGATGTGAGTGCTGTCGGCTGCCATGGCAACAGCAACGATACTCCAGTCAGAGGGAGAAGAGAGAGAGAGGGAGAGAGAGAGAGAGGAGAGAGAGAGGAGGAGAGAGAGAGAGAGAGAGAGAGAGAGAGAGAAAGAGAGAGAGAGAGAGGAGAGAGAGAGAGGAGAGAGAGGAAGAGAGAGAGAGAGAGAGAGAGGAGGAGAGAGGGAGAGAGGAGAGGAGAGAGAGAGAGAGAGGGAGAGAGAGGGAGAGAGAGAGGGAGGAGAGAGGGAGAGAGATGAGATGAGAAGAGGGAGGGAGGAGAGAGAGAGAGAGAGGGAGAGAAGAGAGGAGAGGAGAGAGAAAGAGAGAGAGGAGAGAGAGAGGGAGGAGAGAAGAGAGGAGAGAGAGAGAGAGAAGAGAGGCAAGAGAGGAGAGAGAGGGAGAAAGGGAGAGGAGAGAGGAGAGGAGAGAGAGGAGAGAGGAGAGAGGAGAGAGAGGAGAGAGAGGGAGAGAGAGGAGAGATGAGAAGAGGGAGGAGGAGGAGAGAGAGAGAGAGGAGAGAGAGGAGAGAGAGAGAGAAGGAGAGAGGGAGGAGAGATGAGAGAAGAGAGAGAGGGAGAGAGAGAGAGAGAGAGAATAGAGAGAAGAGGGGACTGAGAGGAGAGAGAGGGAGAGACTGAAGAGAGGGAGAGGAGAGAGGAGAGGAGAAGGAGAAAGAGAGGAGAGAGGGAAACGAAAGAAAGGAGAGGAAGAGGGAGGAGAGGAGAGACAGGAAGGAGAGAGGGAGAGGAGAGGGAGAAGAGAGGGAGGAGAGAGTGAGACAGGACAGAGAGGAGAGAGGGAGAGAGATGAGAGGGAGGGAGGAGAGAAGAGGGAGGAGAGAAGAGGGAGAGAGGAGAGAAGAGGAGAGAGGAGAGGAGGGAGAAGAGAGAGAGAATAGAGAGAGAGGGACTGAGAGGAGAGAGAGGAGAAAGCAAGAGAAGAGAGAGAGAGAGGGAGAGAGACGAAGAGAGGAGAGGAGAGAGAGGAGAAGAGAAGAGAGGAGAGGGAAACGAAAGAAAAGAGAGCGGAGAGGAAGAGGGAGGAGAGAGAGACAGGAAGGAGAGAGGGAGAAGAGAGGGAGGAGAGAGTGAGACAGGACAGAGAGGAGAGAGGGAGAGAGATGAGAGGAGGGAGGGAGGAGAGAGAGAAGAGGGAGAGAGAGGAGAGAGAAAGAGAGAGAGGGAGAGAGGAAGAGAGGGAGAGAGAGAGAGAGGAAGGAGAGAGGAGAGAGAAGAGAGAGAATAGAGAGAGAGGGGACTGAGAGGAGAGAGAGGGAGAGACTGAAGAGAGGGGAGGAGAGGAGAGAGGAGAAGGAGAAAGAGAGAGAGAGGGAAACGAAAGAAGAGGAGAGAGAGAGAGAGAGAGAGACAGGAGGAGAGGAGAGAGAGAGAGAGAGAGGGAGAAGAGAGGGAGAGAGAGTGAGACAGGACAGAGAGAGAGAGAGAGGAGAGAGAGGACAGAGAGAGAGACAGAGGGAGGGAGAAGAAAGAAGGAGAGAGAGAAGAAGGAGAGAGAGGACAAAGAGGAGAGAAAGAGAGACAGGGAGAGAGAGGAGAGAGTGACCTGAAGAAAGGAGAGTAGAGGGAGGAAGAGGGGATAAGAAGGAGAGAAGGAGAGATGGACAGAGGGGTGGAGAGTTTAATAGTTTACTTTTTTGATTAGCCTAAGAAAAATGTACTTTGACTAGAAAATGTCAAGACGTATGAATAATTCTGTGGTCAAATTAAAACGTGACAATGTTGACACGGAAATATGAATAATTTTGCCGTAAAATTACAATGTCATTTGTGATTTGTGTAAAAGAAACAAACTCGGCCGAGAGAGGTTTCTTCACTTCGTGTTCTGGGCAGAAGAAGAACGAGGGACGCAAATCTCACCAAGACTGTTTTGTTTATTTGTTTATTTTGTAGTGGAGCTGTTTGACATTGACCTGTGTGTTTTTCACGTGTCTCATGATTCTTCTCCTGACATTAGGTGGACGTACCTGCTGGTGTCCACTGAGTCCTTCGGCAGGGGCCCCACGCTCTGGACCCCTGGGAGCTTCTGCGAGGACGCTCCATTCATCAGACTGGAGGAAGACGAAGAGGAGGAGGAAGAGGAGGAGGAGGCAGCTACAGCGGCACCTGGACCTGGAACATAATATTCTCTTAGGCTACGTTCAGACTGCAGGGCTTAACGCTCAATTCGGATTTTTTTTGTGTGTGAAATCTGATGTTTTCGCGAGGTCGTTCACATTTCCAATTAAATGTGACTTGTATGTGACTCCAGTGTGAACGTTAAATGGCCCAAAAGTGTCCCGCATGTGACACTGGAGACACGATGACGTCAACCGCAGCGAGCGTCTCTGTGTTTACGGAAGTTGTCCAAACATGGACGCAGCATCGAGCACCTGGAGATTTTAAAGTTCCTCTCGTACCGGAGCCAGAACATGAACAACTTACTTGTTTTTAAGGAGGAGATTGAGAGAAAGGACGAGGTTTTTGGCCGTGGTGTTTTGTGGGACAGTCTGTTAAGAGGAACGTGTGGATGTGGAGACGGAGCCAAGAGTGGTGAGTGGTGATGTGCTTCACTTCAGTGACACAGAGTTCATTAACAATTTTCGTAGGACGAGAAGAACGTTTGTGTACATTTGTGAGCGCCTACTTGTGCCACTCTCATGGGAGGAAACACATCTTCGGCGGCTTATTTCCGTGAGCAAATGCGTCGGCGTTGGGCTGTATTGGCTTACAAGAGGTGCTTGTTGTCGCACAATAGCCAACCTCTTTGGCATAACCAAGTCCACAGAGTGATAACGTGTAGGTGGAAGAATGCGCCTTGGCCGTTTAGACTGAAGTCACATGTCAAAAGATCAGATATGTATCAGTTTCAGGAGCACATATCCAAGTGTCCTGGGTCACATTTGAAAAAATCAGATCTGTGTCGTTCAGACTGTCATTAAAGATCAGATACAGGAACATAGGGGCCAAAAAATCAGATTTGTGTCACTTCAGGCTGCAGTCTGAACGCAGTTATACTTAGGAAACAGTCTACACAAAAAAAAAAAAAAGATATTCAAATTTTAAAATTGTTTATATCTGATGTTTTTTGTTTTTAGAAAATACGTCTTTTTATTTAAACTTATTTTTCTTAAATAACTTTTGGTGCAAGCCACATAGTTATGAAACAGCAGTAAAAACACAATACAAGTAAAATGACAATAAAGTTACAGAGTAGATGCACTCATACACATCGTCTCCTCATTTACTATTCATAATATACACTACACATACACACTGAAAATATGTTTTACACATATTTTTATACCTGAATATCTTCTACTGCATTGTTTCCCAAAGTAAAGATTTTTGGGGGGGTTTGCCTGCATGTAGTTCTACAATATACAGTTCTACAGACTATTTTCTTCCAGTATTGCTGGTTCAATTGAATGTTGAAAAAAACGAAAAAGAAATGGGCTACATTTAACGTCCAAATCGGCGACTTATGGATCCTTTTTTTGCTGCTTCAATTTCTGTTTTTCATTGTTTAAAACTTGAGTAATACTAATTGTTCAGAGAAACACGATCACTCAGTCAACAATAAAATATCCTCATTAATGTTCAATAAAGGTCAAATCCACCTTTATTTTGTGATCTACGAATAATGTCTATGGATTTGGGCACTGTTCTCTTGTTTATACCTTTATCAAGATCTTCTAGTCGTTTTTTTTTTTTTTTTTTTTTAATATAGGTTTATATGAGCAAAAACCCATGTCCACATTCTATTGTCAGAATCAGAATTTGTCATTTCAGTATAAAAAATACACTGAAACGAAATACTGCACTCAGGTCCAGGTCACCAGCAGCACAGATAAGAAAAAGAATAAATTGTTTAAAATACTGAATGTCAAATACAGTCTTTAAAAAAAATCTCTAAGCTGTTCGAACTTTAAACTTTAATATCTCAGACGTACAGAGAACAGAAAAAAAACCTTCTCATTTTCAGTATACTAGTTTTATCATCATACAGTAATAAAACGAACACACGTGATGATTCTGTTTTCTGATTATCACGGTGACTTCAGGGCCCAAGAAGAGCTTAAAGTCATTATTATATTTTCTATACATCAGGTGTTCAGTTTCATAACACACAGTTCTCCAGTGAGACACACACCGTTTCACTGAGCGCTCACAGACTCTCAAAAAACTGCAGCTGTGGAAATATCAGAGGGGTAAGGGAGCCATCTAGTGGAGACTCAGAGGACTGCAGCGTGAATGAGCTAAATTTAAAAAAAAAACTAGAAAAGCACTCCGCCAAGGACTATATAAATTGCGATAAAATCAGTCTTCTGGATCAGATCCGGATCAGCCTTTGGAATATGAAAGAGGATCCCATTGTCCATCCCTGAGTCAAATGTCATGGGGTTTGGTCAATAATTAACCGAGATATTGAGAAACTAAATTTTTGGCCCCATTTTACCGCAATGTTAACTAAAATTTCAAAGTGATCCAGAATCCAGGATTTCTTCCGGATCACCCCCAAAATGAAATCAGTTCTTCCTTTTCACATTTCCAACAAATCCTGAAAATTTCATCAAAAATCGGTCCATAACTTTTTGAGTTATGTTGCTAACAAACAGACAAGACAAACAAACAAACAGACAAACGCCGGCAAAAACATAACCTCCTTGGCGGAGGTAATAAAAAATGCCAGCAGTTGCAAAGAAACTGAGTAAACATAAGAGCTACGGTGTTAGAGAACAGTTAGATACTTATAAAACAAACTATTATCCATTTATCGGTGCACCACGTTAGGCAGCAAAATGATTCATTATACACACAATTAATCATATTTTACTTATTATCCACAATGCACAGAATTCAGAAACTCCTTGGCGAGTAACTTGGAAGGAGGTGGAGAGTTTCTGGTATCTCCCGAGCTACAGTTTGGAGACGCTTGAGGTAAATATTTCAAAAAGAATGAACAAAAGTGTGACTGTTTGCTGCAGATGTTCCAATCAGTGGGAGCAGGTGGAGGGTGCTCTTGGAAAAAGGATCAAAACTCAAACACAACAGGGCTCCGGGCATTTCCAAAGAAGGAAAAAAAAGTTTAAAAATCGCACGAAAAATATAGTAAAAGGCCTTTATTTAAATGGTCAAAGCCGACATTTTTTTGACCTTAACTGGTTTTCATCAGGGCTTAATTGCTTAACTCTTTCCCCCCTGGACGCCGACTAGGAACAACCCATACATATGTTACCAGTTCTACCCATAGAGCATAATTGCATAAAAGAAAACAGACTTCCACGAGTGATTATAAATGATTTTTACACTCATGAACTTAATTGTAACACAGATATATTTAGTATCTCTGGAAACCTTAGACTCTGAACTATTTATTTATGGATGTTTAAATGTGATTCAACTCATTTATAGGTTGTATAACAGCTCACTGAAAATGAGAGTTTACCTGGTCAGGTGCAAACTCGAAAACAAAAAACTACATTCAGCATCTGATATCTGCATGTTCTGAGTATTATATTCATAAAAAAATAAAAAATATACTTTGTCAAAGTATTTAAACAGATTTCATATCACCAGATACAGTAGAGCCAAGTGTACACCTGTTTTTACCTGTTGTACACCTGTGTGCATAATTCATTTTTTTCCATTTAACATTTAACTTATTCAACTTATTAACTCATTTAACTTATTCAACATTTAGCTTATTCAACTAATTTAGCTTTTTATAATATAATAATATAATAATATAATAATAAAACTCTTCCCCGTCAGTGTGTGTCCAGTATTTGTCATCTTGGCTATTTTCTCGTGCGCAGAGCTCCGCATAAGCGTTTTTTCTGTAGCGATTCTGTTATACATCGCATCTTGGAAAAAAAAGACTGAAATATTTTAAAGGACTCGCCTGGGCAACATCCAGATTTCAGGGCAATTTTGGTTCATAATCGAGTATAAAGCTCAGATAGTTTGTTGGGACATCGCAGGACTCCACACAGACGCATCAGCGGCATTCTCACCTTCTCCCCGAAAGTCCGTCGCTATCGCTGTTTTCCACTTTATAATCAACTTCAACATCATCACTTTGAAATCTTATAAAAGTCTCCTCATTAATTTCTAAAAACTGTGCACCTGCAGCGCCGCGATCTTTCCATTGCACGTGTTTCGTGTTGTGTTTTTTTTCCGGAAGCTACCATCGTCACTATTTCGATTAACTTCGGAAAAAATCGGTGAAAACATATCCTTGAATCCTATTGGTCAGTCTAGTGTGGGTTGTAGTGGCCTCCACCGATCACAGTCTCTGTTTAAATGTGAAAAACCGAGCCGTTTCTAAAGGTCGTCAAATCTCATCTTTAGTGATACGGCGGAGGTGTCAAAAGTCGTCATTAAGGGTTCGGGGGGGTCGTCAGATGTCGTCTTCATGGGGGAAAGAGTTAAAGGTTGTATAGAAGTATTTTCCAATGATAAAGAAATGCAGCGACTGTCCTTTTTTAAATGTTGCCCTTTAAAAACTCTTCTACTGAAAAATTTTAAATGAACTAAAAATACTGAAACTGAAAAGATATGAATACAAAATATATAGCAAATAAAAATGTACCCATCTTCTCTCTTTCTCTATATCCCTCGCACGCACTCTTTCAGCGACGTCCAAAACGGACTTTCTTTTGCGGTGAACTGGTCGTGAATTTTTGTCTGCCGTTAAAACAAAATTTGTGCAAACTGAAAGGAGGCGACAGTTCGAAAAAGACGCAGAACTGCTGTGCTGGTTGAGTAAATGGCATCAGGGCGTGAGATAAACCACGCAATCCCAGCACGTCGGCAAGTCAGATACGTAGAAACGTAGGGAGTTTGATTGACAACCTAACAGCCAATAGATAAAGAGGGAGCCTCGTTGTCTATTGGCTGATATTTATCTGCCCCCACCACGTCCACAGTTGATGGATTTTCATTCTTTTTTTTTTTTGGTCATCATAATTACAAGGCTGCTGCATCTCTATAATTCTATTTTGAACTTTCATTGACAATTTAAAACAAACAAACAAACAAAAAATCCTCCATACAACCTTTAATAATTAATGGCTTAATTTCCAAAGAACGTTTTATTCTCTCAACTGAGCAAAGGTTTATGGAGTGAATACATGTTGCCAGGCATCCAAGAGGCTTCAGTCTGGGCAGTGACTTCAGATCCCCGTCAGGACTGAAGACGCTTCTTGGATGAAAGGCGAAGAAATATTCACACAATCATATCTTCTTTTGATTTTTTAGATTTTTTGGTTTATTCCACCGACAGTGAGCTGATTATTAACATTCTATTGCAGTTCTTGTTATTATTATGTCTGTGTTTCTTGAAAGTGTTGACTGCAGGGCTTAACGCTCAATTCAGATTTTTTTGTGAAATCCGATGTTTTCACGAGGTTGTTCACATTTCCAATTAAATGTGACTTGTATGTGACTCCAGTGTGAACGTTAAACGGCCCGAAAGTGTCCCACATGTGACACTGGAGACACGACGACGTCAACCGCAGCGAGCGTGCTCTGTGTTTACAGAAGTTGTCTAAAAATGGACGCAGCATTGAGCACCTGGAGATTTTAAAGTTCCTCTCGTACCGGAGCCAGAACATGAACAACTTACTTGTTTTAAGGAGGAGATTGAGAAGGAGAAGGACGAGGTTTTTGGTCGTGGTGTTTTGTGGGACAGCGGCAGCGACGTCCGTTGAAAGGAACGTGTGGATGTGGAGACGTAGCCAAGAGTGAGTGGTGATGTGCTTCACTTCAGTGACATGAAGTTCATTAACAATTTTCGTATACAGCAAGAACGTTTGTGTACATTTGTCACTTGTTGATAACGTGTAGGTGGATGAATGCGCTTTGGCCGTTCAGACTGAAGTCGCATGTCAAAAGATCAGATATGTATCGGTTTTAGGAGCACATACCCGAGTGGTCTGGGTCGCATTTGAAAAAATCGGATCTGTTTCGTTCAGACTGTCATTAAAAGATCAGATACAGGTCACATAGAGGCCAAAAAATGAGATTTGGGTCACTTCAGGCTGCAGTGTGAACGTAGCATATGAGTCACCATTTTATTCAGAGATTTTCAGAAACAGGTACGTGTCTTACCTGTGGTGTTGATGATGCTCTTGTTTGTGTCAGACACAGAGGGGCCACAGAAGAGACTCCGGGGGCCCCCAGCAGAGAGTCCAGAGTCAAGAGCAAGACCAGAGGCAGGAGCAGAGGCAGGTGCAGAGGCAGGGCAGGTGCAGAGGCAGGAGCAGAGCAGTGCAGAGGCAGGTGCAGAGGCAGCAGAGGCAGGCGCAGGGCTGTGTCCGGTGCTGCTGGAGCTCACAGTGTGGACCGTGGGGCTGCCACAGGACGGCCTCCTCAGCGGCACCATCACACTCCTGCACAACACACACACGCTGACAATTTCAGTCCTGGAGTTGCCAATCTCCACTCAAATAAAGGTAAAAGGAGTTGTTAACTTGAAAACTACCATTTCATGACATCACAAGGTGGAACAGAGCTTTTATTTGAGCTTTGGAGATGTAAACAGATAAACTAAAACACAACTCCAGGTCTGTTTTTTGCAGATGTGTAAAAACATTATAATACGGCTTACATTTCACAAGAATAAATGCTCTGTTATAAGGGACATTTAAAACAGATTGGATTTTGTTTTGATTTAATTGAAAATTTAAATGAACTAAAAATACTGAAACTGAAAAGATATGAATACAAAATATATGGCAAATAAAAATGTACCCATCTTCTCTCTTTCTCTATTTCCCCCGCACGCACTCTGAGGTCGGAGGGCCGGCTCCAGCTCCTGGCCCCCAAAACAAGACTTAAAACCAGACGGGGGACAGGGTCTTTTCTGTGGCCGGCCCCAAACTCTGGAACACTCTGCTCCCACCACGTCCAAACAGCCCCCACAGTGGAGTGTTTTAAATCTCTTCTTAAGACCCACTTTTTATTCTCTGGCTTTTAATATTGTGTATGTTGTGTGGCTTTTTTTTATTTTATTTTATTTTATTTATTTATTTTAATGTATTTATTTTATTTTTTTGGTACTGCTTTATTTATTCATTTATTTATTTTAATTAATTTATTTTATTTTTTTAGTACTGCTTTTATGTATTGATTTTATTATTTTTGTTCACTGATTTTATTATTATTTTATTCTATTAGAGTCTTCATTAAACAATTCTGCAGATTTTTTTCTTTTTAAAGTAAAATGTTTTGCATTGCTATGTGAAGCACTTTGGAAACTGTTTTGTTTGTAAAATGTGCTATACAAATACATTTGGATTGGACTATATGTATGTATGCCCCTGTGTGTAAGTGTAAGTGTGTAAGTTTGTGTGTGTGGATCCCGGAGGAGGAGACATGACCCCAGGCTCAGCTCTGTCACAAGATCAGGTCCACAGCTCTGGTCCCACCACAACACATCATCACACAGCTGTAGTGCTGCTCACCTCCTCCTCAGACACGGGTCAATCATCTGTGTGAGTTATCATTTCCTCCGCCAAGGAGGTTATGTTTTTACCGGCGTTTGTCTGTCTGTTTGTTTGTTTGTTTGTTTGTCTTTTAGCAACATAACTCAAAAAGTTATGGACCGATTTTGATGAAATTTTCAGGATTTGTTGGAAATGTGAAAAGGAAGAACTGATTTCATTTTGGGGGTGATCCGGAAGAAATCCTGGATTCTGGATCACTTTGAAATTTTAGTTAACATTGTGGTAAATGGGGCCAAAAATTTTGTTTCTCAATATCTCGGTTAATTATTGACCAAACCCCATGATTTCATTCATATTCCAAATTGAAAGATACGAGACAAATATTTATGGAAAACACAATTAATATGAGGGGACTGTAGTCCTTGGCGGAGGTCTGTGCTCTCTGAGTGCTTTTCTAGTTATATTCAGTATTCAGCATTTTCAGCTTTGTGAAATTAAACAGATTTGTGTCACACGTTGTTCAGCTTTTTCAACAGTGATAAAACACTGAACACGACGGACAAGTTGTTTCTGTGATAATTTGGTGGTTTGGTTCAAGGTGATTATCAGAAAGCAGAATGAGCCTCACATAAGTCTCAAAGCTGAAATCCAGCTGGTTAAAACCTAAAATGCGTCTCTTTGATCTGACCCCAGCACATGAGTCAGTGCTAGTGCAGCCTCTGCGTCAGTGCTAGTGCAGCCTCTGCAGCACAGGGAGGGAATTCTGGAGGTTGAGATTTCACATGAGGCCCGTCCATAAACTGAGAATGAGACAAACTTGTGTGTGTTTGTATCTGCAGGTTGAGGCTCTGGAGACACAGATTTAGCTGTGATTGTGAAACATTTTTAAAAGAGTAAGAGCACGGGCTGATTTAAAAGGTCACTCAGCTGTAACACCTTGTAATATCTGGACCAAAAGCTGAAACTTCTGAAAGTTCCAGACTTTGGAAGACAATATTGACTATATTTGTGTTAAATGACTGTCTGCACATTGCTTTGTTTATAAAAGGGACAAACTGTATTCAAATGCAAAATTGCGATCGATCAATATGACAAAAAGTTTATTCCTCACTTTGTTCACACATTGGAGCGTCCTAAATGAGTTAGGACATTACATCAACAACATCAGCATGCTAAACCACACACTACTGTTATTATTAAAATACATTTAAGACAAACACAAACACACAAAAGGAAACATGAGATTTGGTATGAATTGTTTTATTGTTTTTGTGTATTTTATTCTTTAGTTTATTTAAATAATAAATAAACTAAAAATAAAATATTTTTTTGTAAAATTGTTTATTTTTTGAGAAGTTAATGCATTTAAACACATTTCAACAGAAACGTTCTTTCCACTGAAATGGCATTAAATACATCTTCTTATCAGTTGATGGTCAACTGAAACACCCTCCTCAGCCTCCAGAAGAAGTGTGACAGGGTGGACTTGCGGCGCGTGTGGAAGGCTCTCAGCTCGCTGTTGACATGGGTCACAACTGCTGCCTCAAAACGTGCAGTATCTTCTGCTGAAGCTGCCCTAAAAAGACGGTCCAAGACGAGCCGTACTGCACTTTTAGTTGTTTTGGCCACTTTTTTGCCAATTTTCTTCAAATCTTTAAGGCTGATCTCATCATCTCCAACTACAACGATGTGCTCCTGGATCTTTTGGTGTAACTCAGCAGCCATCAGGACGTGATCCTGTTTGGTTATTTTGGCCATTTTGAAAATGCGTTTGAGACAAGCCTCTGTGAGGATGTGGGACACTCCATGTCCACAGGAGGGAGCAGGTGGGCTGATCGTCTCTGTTTTGGTTTCCAGAGGAGAGGACATTTCGTCTGTTTGTTGATGCAGGGTGTGGTCTGGTGGACTCACTTCCCTCTCGTCCTCTGGCTCATGAGCAGTGACACTTGGTGCTGGTGAAGTGCAGCTCTGGTGCTCTTCAGGCAGAGCTGGACTCAGGCTGCAGACATCTTCACTCTGCTCTTGGTGAGTGGTGGTTTGGTCTTTGATGTCGTCATTTTCTGCAGTAACTCCAGTGAAGGCAAACTGGGACAGGTCTTCCACAGGGAGCACCTGTAGTTCCTCTGACGCAGGTTGCACTTCCTCCTGGAGCTCGTCATTCCCTTGGCTCAGGGATGTGGAGTCCTGGGACACATCAGGTACCTGCTGTTGGATTTCTGCAGGTGTCTGTTCCAGGACATTTTCAAAATGAATTTCTTGTGGAAATTCTGTTATTTCCTGAGGCTCTGGAGATATTTCTTCAGTTTCTAGAGTCGTTTCCTCCTCTACCAGTTTGACCGAGCTACTCTGTGAAACAACTGGGGCAGCTTCAGCTTCAGACTGGTTTTCTTCTGGTGTATCCTCCAGAAGTCCACTCGTCACAGTGATGGTCTCTTCTGCTGGGCTGGTGACATCCTGTGCATGTGAGTGCTCTTCAGACACAGGGGTCACTGGTTTGATCTCCTCAGACTCAGGACGGGTGAGGAAGGCTCTCAGCTCGGTGTTGAGATGGGCCAGAATAGCTGCTTCTAAAGGTGCAGTATCTACTGCACAAACAGCTCTCAAGAGGGCGTGAGGGGAGTCATACTCCACTTCGATATTTTTGGCTGCACTTTTGGCAATTTCTTCTAGGTCCTCAAGGCTGATATCAGCATCTCCATCAACAATGACGTGCTCCTGAATCTTTCTTTGAATCTCCTCAGCCATCAGACTGTGGTCCATGTTGACCACTTTTAAAGTGTGTTTGACACAAGCCTCTGTGAGGATGTGTGGTGCTCCATGTCCACAGGAGGGTGCAGGCGAGTCGATCATCTCCTCTGGTGGGACAGGATCTTCTGCTGGACTGACAGGGTCTATTGGGCTGGAAACTTCCTGTGGAGATGGAACCTGTGCAGGACTGGGCTCCTCTGGTGAAATCCACTGAAACCGTTTGTGGCGTCAGTTTGTTCTCCTCTTTTAAAGTTTTCCTTCTTTGCTCTAAAAGCCCGCTGGAGTTCCAGCTTGTACAGCTGCTGCTGCCGGACAACATGCTGCTGGAACTCATGTTCTTGGGCAGGGTGCATCTTTGGGTTGTGTTGTTCCATTCAACTCCTTATACCCCATCATCTCCAGCATTTTGTGAGCTGCTTTGACCTTGGCTGCTTTCTTGTTGGAGGCCATTCCCTGGCAGGACATCTGGCCCACTCTTACCTCCACACAGAAGGTGGTGCTGTAGGCGTTGCGCTGCACAAACGAGACCACCCTGAATTCAGGAGCTCTCTGCCTCCTCACATCCAGTATTTCTGAGAGGGCGGTGATCGGATTCTTGTTATAAAAGTAGAATGGACGTTCCACAGGGTCCACCAGATCTACGTGGGGTTTCTCCCAATATGGAGTCACATTCTGTGGCACTGGGAGCTGCTTCAGCTCCTCCACCACTTTCTTGGCTGCATCTAGTTTAGCCTTTTGTTTTGTGGGTCCAAAGCCAAAGCCAACATAGTTTCCCGCTCGTACTTCAGCGTGGAAGGTTCTTCTATGGGCTTGGCCGTCTTCTTGTACGTCAAAACTGGACGTGCAGATCGTGCAACGCAGCAAGATCATATAAACGCGTCAAGTCTGATTTGTAAACCTCCGTAGGTCTTTCTGCTTCCATCTTGTAGATCGTAGTAGTCGCCATCGAGTAACGTGTCTGTTTGTGTCTCTCGTCTTCTGGCGGCGTCTCACTTATACAAAACCAGAGATGTGTCCAGCTTTGAAGTGTGATGTCATGAAGCATGGAATGTCGTTGGCACACGGCGACGACCAATGGGACTTGAAGAGAAGGAGAATGTTGACTGTTGCCGTAGCAACGTAGAACTCCAGACATTTGCCCCGTTTACACGAGAGCTTTAATTCCAATTAAAAATAATTTAATTTGGAATAAACTT